CCGCTTGTTGAGCTCGGCATCGAATGAGAGGTTGTTGGTGATGGTAGAGCCAAGGTAAGTGAACTCACTGACTACTTCTAGTTTGTAGTTGTTAATGGTTATGCTGGGAGGGTCTGCGTCCTGAGCCATGTTATGCTGGGAGGGTCTGCGTCCTGAGCCATCACGTTGGTTTTCTTTAGGCTGATGGTTAGCCCGAATTCATCACATGCTTTAGCAAAGCGGTCCATCAGGCGTTGTAGTTCAGCTTATGTGTGAGTGACTATAGCAGCAGCATCTGCAAAGAGCATGTCCCTAATGGTTGCTTTTCTTACTTTGCTCATTGCCTTCAGTCGTGCCAGGTTGAACAGTCTGCCGTCTGAACGCGTGTGCAGGTAGATCCCTTCTGTGGACGCCCCAAAGGCGTACTTAAGCAGGACAGCGAAGAAGATGCCAAAGAGCGTGGGGGCAAGGACACAGCCTTGTTTCACTCCGCTGTGGATATTGAATGGTTCGGACGATGAGCCATCGTACTGCACTGTGCCTTTCATGTCTTCGTGGAAGGACTGGACCATGCTTAACAGCTTTGGAGGGCATCCAATCTTCGTCAGGATTTTAAAGAGTCCGTCTCTTCTGACCAGATCGAATGCTTTGGTGAGGTCTATAAAAGCCAGGAAGAGGGGTCTGTGTTGTTCCCTGCATTTCTCCTGCAGTTGCCTGATGGAGAAGATCATGTCGATTGTGGACCTCTCTGCTCGGAACCCACACTGAGACTCTGGATACACTCTGTCGGCAGGCGTCTGCAGTCTGTTCAGGATGACTCTAGCGAAGACTTTACCCACAATGCTGAGAAGTGATATGCCCCTGTAGTTGTTGCAGTCACTTCTGTCACCCTTGTTCTTATACAGGGTTATGAAGTTGGCGTCTCTCATGTCCTGAGGCACTGCACCTTCATCCCAGCACTGGCAGAGAAGGTCATAAAGGTGTGTGAACAGCACACTGCCGCCACATTTGATGACTTCTGCTGGGATGCCATCCTTTCCTGGGGCTTTACCTGTGGTCAGTTTCTCTAATGCTAGCTTTAGTTCCGTCTCAGTAGGTTTCTTTTCTTTCATCTTACCTTACGTACACATTATTATACCTTACATACACACCATCCTACCGTATATACACATCATTATACATTACATGCACACCATCCTAATTTACATCCCTATCTTACATACACATGTCCTACCATACATACACATCAACCTACCTACACACAATCCTACCTTAAGTACCAATTAGCATGGACAATACTTTTTCTTAGCACTTAGGAATGTGTGTATGTGTGTGTGTGTGTGTGTGTGTGTGTGAGAGAGAGAGAGAGAGAGAGAGAGAGAGAGAGAGAGAGAGAGAGAGAGAGAGAGAGAGAGAGGCAGACAGACATAAAGGCATATATAGAGTTTCTCTGTGTGATATGTGTCTGCGGACTGACTGCCTTAGAGACACATCAACCTACTTTACACACCATCCAACCTTTAGTAGCAGCTAGCGTGGACAATACTCTTTCTTAACACTGAATCCTAATGTATGTGTGTGTGTCAGTGTGTGTGTGTGTGTAGAGAGAGAGAGAGAGAGAGAGAGAGAGAGAGAGAGAGAGAGAGAGAGAGAGAGAGAGAGAGAGAGAGAGAGAGAGAGAGAGAGAGAGAGAGAGAGAGAGAGAGAGAGAGAGAGATTCTTTGCACCAACATTGATGGGACCAAATCTTGGGGATTGCTTTATTTTAAAATATAGCTGGTACGGACAATTAAAAATTATATTGCATTTACAGATGCAGCCCTCCTAGCGGTTCCTTCTCACAGGAGGAGTGTGTGTGTGTGTGTGTGTGTGTGTAATATATATATATATATATATATATATATATATATATATATATATATATAGATATATATATATATATATATATAGATGTATATATATCTATATATATATATTCTTTGTACCGACATTGATGGGACAAATCTTGGGGTTTGCTTTATTTTAAAATATAGCTGCTACCGACAATTGAAAATCATTGCATTTATAGATGCAGCCCCCCTTCTCACTGCAGGTGTGTGTGTGTGTGTGTGTGTGTGAGAGAGAGAGAGAGAGAGAGAGAGAGAGAGAGAGAGAGAGAGAGAGAGAGAGAGAGAGAGAGAGAGAGAGATTGGTTTTATGCACCGACATTGATGAGACCACATCTTGGGGTTTGCTTTATTTTAAAATATAGCTAGCAGTTCTATGTACTATGTTAACCGATGATTTTTTTTCTCATTTACGAAACATTTAGTTTATTTGGGGATTTGCGTTAAATTCGTACATCTCCTGAAAGAAGTTTAAACCTTTTTAAGAAATCTGGAACTTATCAACGACGTTATTTCGACATCTTCAACGTAACTCGAGGACTAAATGTTCGGAATTAAAAATTAGCTTTTGTTTCATTCATATATAAGGGAGTAAAGTGCTTCAAGAATTAAAAGATGCAGACAGTTAAGAAAATGAAAATCCGTGGTTCGAGAGTTATTTAGATTCCCACGCATGATGACCAATGCGGAGATATTAAAATAAAAACAGAAATTATCTTTGCGCTCCTTGGACTAGAAATTAGAAAGAAAAAATCTCACTTGAAGATCTCAATGTTGATGAAGTGTGGAGTATTTTGGCAGATGGCTTCTTCAGATGTTCACAATGAGACTTATTGAGCAGAATACAACCTAAATTGTATGGTTCCAAAACTTCTAAAGGGTCACATAAACTTTTCTATCAGTAATGTGATATGTCAGAATGAATTGGTTGGAAAATATGATACAGACTTGCTATATCGGTAATCAGTTTTGTAAGGTGGAAATAATGCTATTAATTTTGACCGAGAATTTCTGCTGCATATTGACTCTCTTCTTTGTTCCAGCTTTACGGACGCCTGCCATATTTTTAAGACGCTTGCGATTAAAGCGGAAGCAGACGAGGAATTAATTTCGTGGCTCCATATATTAATCAAGATATCTGCAAACTAAGGGGCATAGCTAGATTTATTTGCAAAAGTCGAACGATTTCTAAAAAAATTGCACTAGTTTTGAGATACCATATCTATGGTATAACAAGGTAAATATGGCACGGCATAATAGCTTGGCGTATGCTAATTTTAAAAAGTAATGTTCAATTGCCAACTCCCCGTCCGATGTGCTTTTTCTTCACTAGTTTCCAGGGCAACCGTATATAAAATTTAGATCAATAAGGAAACAGGTAGATCATGTCAGGAATTAGGCAACTCATGTCCGTACAGTAACTTAAACTAACATTATATTTGTAAAACTAAATCAGGATATACTTTGCAGTCATGAAATAACATCTAAATAGTCATCATTGCAAGCCACTGATGAAAATCCCCTACGATCCCATTTCATCCGTGACTGGGATAAACTTTCCTTGTTTCTTTTGACAATGTATAAAATTGCTCAACCAATCATTGCGAGCCTGAGTAAAATATGATAAGCAGCAACAAGTGAGTAGAGTATGTATGTATGTATGTATGTATGTATGTATGTATGTATGTATGTATGTATGTATGTATGTATGTATGTATGTATGTATGTATGTATGTATGTGTGTGTATTGGCTTTGCATGTGAATGGCTATACACTGAGATAGTATTTCCATTGGCGCTGTTGTCGTCGTCGTCTTCACGAGGAATAATCATGTTAAGGTCAAAGTTTTTTAAATGGAGAGTGTCTTCAACATATGTTTCTGCATTCAGCTGACACATTTGAAAAATATTATTAAAAATAAAACTTTCCAATCCAAATTTGAAATCAGTGAATAATAGTACCTAGACTTATAAAATGAATTTTGATACCAAAGCTTTAGAAATTCGAGTGTTTTAGCATTATCTCAGACTCCAAAAATGTAGCAGATGCAGGCATTTTTATGCAAGATTTAAACTTTAAGGGTTTAAATGTTGATTATAAAAGCTATTATATATTTTTCACAGTTTCGGTAATTATGGACATAAAATGCATGGAAACAAATATTAAAACAGCCTTGCACATTATTCGGCATGTCGGTTTCGAACATTATTCATTTTGTTTATCTTTATTTTGCTGCAGTTTCAGACAGGTTTTAGTACAAAATTAAGGAGCAAAGTTTCGATAAAACACTTAAATGGTCTTAGGAAACAAAATCGTTTTGCTCCCTGATCAATAAATAATGACATATAGAATGTGTTATGTATTAGTTGTTTTTACTTTATGAGTGTATGCTACGTATATTTGTATGTTGTACTTGAACTTTGTCCAAAATCAAGTTAATGGCGCAGCTGACCAATGACATTTATTTTTTAAGCAACATAAAACATAGTTAATATTCATCTATGTATGTGGATTAAATATTAAGATCACTATTAATTGCAAACATTTTTACTTCAATTTGAGTTTAATATTCAGTCGTAGACATTAGAAAGTTTCATAATGGAAATGTCACATTAAGTTGACAGAGTGTTTCCAAAAAATGGTAAATGCAACCTAGATGAAAGGATTGGATGGGTATATAATCTTTGTTTAATTAAGAATTATTCAATCTTGCCTAAACATCTAAAGCAGAATCTTTCTTATTTCTCAATTTATAATTTGACTAAATTTATGTATTCAAATTGTTATTCACTGGAATTACACAGTGCTCAATATTATTCTTGGACTAAAACGTTAACCTGAAATAACAATGAATTCAGATCAGGTCATTTTGGATTATATTATTGTGATACATCAAAAGACTGTTAATACATCATTTCATTCCAGACCACTGGCACATCAGCACGTTCGAGACTAAAGGCACATCAGTACATTCAATATTAGAATTTATTTGGAATACCAAGGGAATTCAATTGGAATGTCATACATTTGGACTTGTAATAGAACTTTTAGGAATATTTTAGATTTAATTAACAATATTTTAAATTCGTTTTTTTTTCACTTTGTATTACAGGGAAATGAATTATTTGTTGAATCGACCTCTCCGGTGGCCTAATGGTTAAAGCGTCTGCCTCGGATGTGGAAGTCGCGGATTCGAATCCGTACCGAGTCATACCAAAGACGTTTAAAAATGGTACTAACAACTGCCTCGCTTAGCGCTCAAAATTAAGAGGTTAGTGTTATGGCTGGTCGTCCTGGTGACTAGGTGAAACATAATGCTACATGTTTTTGGCAAGATGCTCCAGTGCGAGACATCACCATATACTGCCACAGTGCAGATATCATAGCGATTTGACTGAACATATTTTAAATCTACGTTAAAAATCCAAATCACACACACACACACACACACATTTATTGAATCGTACAGAATTGGTTGGTTTGCGTTCTTTTCTGTTACTTAGTATGGTACTAAACGAGTTTGGGTCGCCAGGTGCTCAGGTATCGCCTCTTCAGTAATGAAATAGATTGTGGTATGTTATTCAGTGGCGTTACCCAATCGGGTAACTCATGGTGTCCCCCCTCCATCGACCTCCTTCCTGCAAACGATTTCAGAAATTTTTTAGACAGTCATGTGCGATATATCAGGGTGTCACCCCAAGGACCTCCTTCATGCAAAAATTAAAACATTTTATAGACCATCTTTTTTGTGTCACCCCCTCTGATGGTGTCGTCCGGTGCGATCCGCACCCTTCCCCGCACTCTCCCACCACCTCCGTGTGACGCCACTGATGTCATCTTTAGTTCATTTCGAGACAGGCAGGAAGGTCATGGAAGGTACATATTTCACACAAAATGAAATCTTTGTCTTTCATATGAAAAAAAGCCATTTAAAATTTCCTACTTGTTCAATTTTACGAAACTGCTAACAATTGCTTTATTCGGTGGAAGACAGAGCAACTCGACGATCATATTCATAGTTAGCAGACTATACAGGTTTTGTTTTATTGTAGCAAAGATATTTTGAAGAAGAAAAAAGCATTATTATCGCCTCTCTTTTCATCCGTGTGCTATATATTTCTATATTATTCAGAGCTTTTTGTCTATTAAAAAAAGTATGTACATTTATCGAACATACGACGAAAGTGGCAGAAGTTCCGTTTTTCTCTTATGCCACATATCTGTCCGTTTTTACGATTTATGGCTACCGCGACAAGACATGTTTGTATTGAAGTAATTAGAACAAATTATTCGATAAGATCCTAATATTATGTGCTTGGAGATATTGCTACAGCTGATCATTACATTTACAGCCATTTCTTGATTGCAGTCTCTTGACGTTCAATCCGTCGGATATTCATGCCCTTACTGAAAACTCAGTCCGATGCCTGTCGATAAAGTGCTATCAGATCAAATTAAATATCCCAGAAAAAAAAAATCGATTCACGCCATGAATATGCTAAGATGGACAAAGCTGTGTGCGGCTCTCTTCTCCATATCGAACAAATTACTGAAGATGTTCCAGCCCGCAATCAAGTGACTCGCATTAATGAAGAGAGCAGTGACCAAGAGTGATCTTTCTTTCGTATTAACTGACAGTGCGAGCATCAACGATTTATTTATTGCATCCGTTAGAGACTCAACGATGTGCATTATAAATAATTATGGCAAACGCGAAATAATAATGGAAAATGCAACAGTAATTAAAACTTGTATTTGAAAATGCAACCTTTCCTATATTGACAACTGACATTCTTAACTTAGAACAAATGCAAACAATACCTAATCTATGTTAAAAGAGCATTGAAATAAGGAGAGATCATATTTAGCGGCTTGCCATTAAAATTTCTTCTACAGAGCTATAATGTCCTGCTTACAATCAATGTTGTTTTTTTCGAATTACATCGAATAGTTTAAAAGCTATAAGCCAGATGAAAATCTCTCTCTCTCTCTCTCTCTCTCTCTCTCTCTCTCTCTCTCTCTCTCTCTCTCTCTCTCTCTCTCTCTCTCTCTCAATAACCAGACGGAACAATAACCTAAGTAACTCAACTGTCATGGTACAAAATAATTTGGTCGCTTTTATTTTTATCTGAAGATTCAAAAATACCACGGGATCCGTCAATCGTAATAATTCCTGCATTTCTTGACAAGCAGAAATGGTTGTTATCAAACGATCGAAGATCTTTTGGCTGTTGTATAAAGTGGCCAAAAATATCTCAGCTTGCCCAAAACGAGGCTCTGTTAGGATTGATTCCAAGGAGCCTCTTCACAATATTACCATGCAAAGGAAATAATGAGAAACGGTTCGCGCCTCTGGGGACGAAAATCTTACTCATTTGCTGCTCTTAATACCTTTTTATTTATGTGGTACATGTTGTGATTATACAAGGTGGGATTCTTCCCCCGTTTTGGATTCATGACAAGTGAATGCCCAGCTGATTAAAGTGGTTATTTAAAAGATCTGTAAGTGCTTTCTAAAAATGGAAGGAAGCAGACGACACAATATCTTTGATAAGAAGATGATCCGATGAAAAGAATACAGGATGAAAAATATAAACTCTCGTAAAAGGTAAGTTGCCTATTTCAAAATGTTACTGTCTAATTACCCTCTGTATAGGGGTAACACGCATTAAAGATTCACCATTCTATAGATGCCGATAGATACAACGTTTACTTATATTATTATTATTATTATTATTATTATTATTATTATTATTATTATTATTATTATTATTATTGCGCGATACTGAAACAATTGATCGAATGAACCCTTCTAGCCTAAGAGATACACTAGCGTAACGATCGCAAATATAAGAACTTTTTGTTTAAAACTTAAGACATCCCCTCCTACCTCCCCCCGCTCTCCCTCCATCTGGGGCTGCAGCCAAAGCCCAAATTTCTTTTTGTTATTATCTCACCAGTATAATACATCCCAACCCTCACACGATGTATATGGAATTCGAGGTATAAATAAATTTGGCTTGTGAACTACCTTACCACCCCACGCCAGCTGCAACCAGGATCCGAACCCTTGTCATCTTTTCATACTTTTTTGACATCTTACCAACATATGATCATTTTCTGTAAATCCTGCAGAGCGACTTCAAGTTACAAGAAACACTATCGCGAGACCCCTTGTCACCAAGTGGTATAAGTCGGTCACCTATACCGATCATTGCCATCTAACCTCTATGGGTTCGAGTCTTGGTCTCGGCACATTTGGAATGTGGGGAAGCTTGACAGTAGTTTTCCGGGGTTTTTATCCACTAGTTATGCTGGTTATGCTGGCCGTCATATATAGCCTATCGTGCACTGAAACATTGCGTTAAACCCAAAACAACAACAACAAGGAGGTGAGTTATTTCAATGTATCTCTACAAATGCTGTTAACTAAGTTATCTCTCGATCAATCAATCTCGTCTTTTCGAACTGGGCATCTAGCTGAGATTTTCCTGCTTTCTTTTCTTCAAATTATAAGATGGTTGTTTTGTATACACCTAACAAGCGTTTCCATTGATGCTAATTTACCATTTACTACAAACGATTACAAATGACGAGAACTATTCTTTTAACTTACATGCTTCCAGATTTAAAAAGTCAGATTAAATACTACACCTAAAAACGATTTCGTCGAGTTGTCAGACAATAATGGTTGCTGAGAACACATTCTATTTGAGAAATCTGCCAGGAAGTGTTATTCGATACAACTACCATTATCAACACTGAACAAAGGCGTGCATTTCTGTACTCTCCCATATATTATGTAAACAAGCTCTCTCTCTCTCTCTCTCTCTCTCTCTCTCTCTCTCTCTCTCTCTCTCTCTCTCTCTCTCTCTCCTTGCGCAAATGTTAAATACATGCAAACTACCGTCTTATACTAATTCGGACCACCTCGTTTATTTCTGCCAGATAAAAACATACATCCATTATTTGTCGACTTATTAATTGACATTTTTAAAATATCACTTATTTATCTCGCTGGAAATTTGTTAATACGGTTGACAAAAGAAGAAATAAATCGCACTTATCAAACCAGCTAAAATCGGCCATGACAACAGCAGAGACCACGGCTCTGAAGCAACTGAAGCAAGGGGAAAATGCTGAAATCTAAAAGTAAAGTTTGTTTTCATATTAATGAAATCTCAGCTAAATATACCAAATGGCGAGTTCATCTTAGCAATGATTTATGTACAATTGGAGGAGGTCGGATGACTATTTTAAAGCCTGCAGACACAATGCATAATGTTTAGAGTCCGGCTCAGCCTTTTTTTGAGATTTAACCTGTGATCTCCTCAACATAGAATTTTGCTGCGTTTTCCCTGGGGAAATTTGTCGACAATAGCTTAATCCAGACCGTGTGTCGGCGAAAAAAAAAGAGAACAACGTATTTTTGGTGGACCCCACTATTTACGATTTTGACACACAGGTTTAGTTGCAAGAACTTTTTTTTATATTTCTTGACGGTTGCCCCTTTTTACTTTGGTGCGACAGACACTGTAACAAATCGCTCTCGCGCAGCTGACTTTTGTCAACAGACACACTGGATCAGGGTTTGCATTGTTATGCAGAGGTTAACGACTTTCGCGAGAAAACAACTCAACACTGTACTACTGCAAAGACGTGGATACTTTTAAAGATGCTCTCCGAGCAAACAATGAAGTCCCATCAGAAATCTGAAAGTAGGTCCAGCACATTTTAACGACCAAAAATTATGGAAATATATAACATTACGTTGCATGATCGTGGTGGCGGAACCTGCACAAGTACTTAACCAAGGACTTTTGTATTAAAAAAAATTAACATAAATGTACTTACAAAACTACTTTACCAAGTACCAACACATAAATACTGCAGACTGTACGCAAAAACCCGCGTAAGAACGTGCACAAGAACTTAACCATGTACCGAGTACCACTCGTGGTTGCGAGCGACATCACCTGAAAAGCTCAGGCGTACTCGAGGTAAAGATCCTTTCTAACGCACACGTCATCATCAGCTAAACTTCACTTCTTCTATGGTGCAAAGCTTCATTATTGGTGGCTTCAATGTCTTTAGAATCTCTGACGTGTCAGCTTCGTGAACCTTGCCAGTTGGAATAGTGAGTGACCTTTTAATCATTTACCATACCTTCTCGTTATCTAGGTCAGACTTCAGCAAGAGCTCCATTCACGT